TATCACGAATCCGCATTTTGCCCCCTTGAACTACAAAACGAATAAGTCAGTACCACAACTATCAAAATCGTGTAAATAAACCCCTGAAACGCAATTCTGGCCACTTTCCGGCCGACCTCATTGTAAATTTACAAAACTACCCATTGTAATTAAAAAAAATACCCTCAATGCCGCTCTGCTCTCAAGTACATCTCCATTATCTTCTGTTATTCTCTCTCTCATTTAAATCTCTCTCTCTCTCTCTCACACACACACATACACACGCTTGCATATACATCAGTGCTAGATAAATGGCACAAATGAGCCTTCCCCAAGGATTCGAGTTCCACCCAACTAACGAGGAACTTGTTGATTACTATCTAAATAGGAAAATAACAGGCCGTGTGATCGAGCTTGAAATCATCCCAGAGGTTGATCTCTACAAATGTGAGCCTTGGGATTTACCAGCTACGTACCTACAAATTTACTTGAATATATATATATATATATATAGAAATATCATTAATTTGATTGACTCTAAATTAAATTGAGTTGAAATCTGATATATATATATATTTGATTTGATGATGTACATGTATAGACAAGTCATATTTACCTGGCAAAGATATGGAATAGTACTTCTACAGCCCAACGGATAGGAAATACTCAAACGGGTCAAGGACTAACCGGGCAACCAAAGCCGGTTCCTGGAAAGCCACCGGAAAAGATTGGGTGGTGCAATCGGAAAAGCGGCGGGTGGGGATGAAGAAAACACTGATTGCCCGGTTAGTCCTCCGCCGTGGAACAAAACATTGATTTATTTATAGAATGTGTGATCCTCCGACAAGCTTGTATTCGATCCCATCCCAATTCTTCGCCTAAACCACCACCTCCGCCGTGGAACCCCCATCCATGCTTTAATGGCGGCGCTGAAGCAGCGAGGTTGCCTGAGCAGCAACAGTAGCCACACACACACACACACACACACACACACACATATTGACATATATTCCGACCTCTCTACAGCCCATCGCCGGCCCATGCCACCATTGCCATCGCTGCACCAACAGGCCGAACAAGTCCTCTCCACAGCCCATCGCCGCCTATGCCGCCATCACTATCGTTGCACCAGCCACCTCTGATATGATTGGATCAAAACCGGTAGTTTTTTTCATCAATATAAATATATGTAAATATATATATATATATATATATATATGTGTGTGTGTGTGTGTGTGTGTGTGTGTGTGTGTGGCTACTGTTGCTTTTTTTCATCAATATAAATATATGTAAATATATATATATGTGTGTGTGATTGCAAAACTGGTGGTCAACCACCTATCGATCTAAATGCTCCACCGACTCTAGAGTCATCGAATTTTGCTGGTATGTTTGGTGTTTTTGTGCTTTCTTTCTTCTTCTATTTTCTGTTAATAGATCACAAAATTGAGGGGAAAGGAAGGAGGAATTGACTAATCAGAGAAGCCTCGTGGACAGACGAAGGGAAGTTACAGAACGGGGTCGTGAAGGCTCGCAGCACCGGCGGGAAGGAGAACTCGGCTGTGAGTTTCTCCATGTTTACCTCATTACATGGTAGAAAAGTTAAAATGAATAAATAAATAATAATATTCATTAGTATTCGAGGGTAATTTTGGAATTAAAAGAAAAAAATAGTCACGTGCTGACCTTGTGGGACAGAAAGTGGCCGGAATTGAGTTTCAGGGGTTAATTTGCACGATTTGTGATAGTTGTGGTACTAATTTGTTCATTTTTGTAGTTCAAGGGGGTAAAATGCGGATTCGTAATAGTTTAGGGGGTTTTTTACATTTTTGCCTAAACTCATACAAATAATAGCAATGGATGGAAAGGGTATAATTACGGGATTTTTACATATAAATGGAGTTAGGAAGCCATATTTACTTATGGATGGAGTCAAAGTCTTATATTTTCACAAAAATGAGTTTGACCTAAATGATGACATGGCACATGAAGTTTTACTGTTTAAAATTTTTGTTACCTAAAATGCCCTTCTCCCTATTCCAATGCATTTACCTTATTACCATTGTTTAGAAAATATGGTACCTGGAGACCAAAAAGTGGTACCTTCAGTTCAAAAATGTGGTACCTTTAAAACAAAAGTGGTACCTTCGTAAAATGGACTTATTTTTGCAATTGAAAATGACATTAAACCCTACACCGCTAATTAAGTTGCACATTACATCCATAAACAGCTCCGTTAGCGCTATGAATAACACAAAATATTCTCCAAACTAGCTAAGCAAGTGTTTAGAAAACATGGTACCTGAAGGCCAAAAAATGGTACATTTAGTTAAAAAACGTGGTACCTTTAGAACAAAAGTGGTACCTTCGTAAAATGAACTTATTTTTGCAATTGAAAATGGTATTAAACCCCACACCGTTAATTAAGTTGTACATTGGATCCATAAACAGTTCCATTAGCGCTATAAATAACACAATATTCTCCAAGCTAGCTAAGCGAGTATTTACGAAACATGGTACCTGGAGGCCAACAAGTGGTACCTTCAGTTCAAAAACGTGGTACCTATGGGAAAAAAGTGGTACCTTTGCAAAATGGACTTATTTTTGCAACTGAAAATGGTATTAAACCCCACACCGCTAATTAGGTTGCACATTACATCCACAAATAAATCCATTAGTGCCATAAAGAGTACAAACTATATTCCAATCTAGTTGACTTGAGGGAATGAATAGTACAAAATATACTCCAAGATCACTTAGAACATTGTTTATCTGTTAATTTTTTTATTTTTTTTTATTCTACAATATATCGTAAACACAATTATTCTCTGCTTAATAGGTAAAGAAGCTGCTTTTAAGCCAATTCCATAATGGAATAGTACTTACAACCCAAATTATCCTTCAGGAGGTGCGCTTGGTTCTTACAAAATAGGAACTTACCTCCACAAATTAATGTAAGAGCTGTCGAAATTAGGGTTAGGGCTTTAAGCTTGTAAGGAGTAAGATCAAATGGTGAAACCTCGCAAAAAGTTCTCTTTACCTGATAAGTGCCCTCAGTTCTTCAAAGTTTTTCTCCCGGAACTAAATCCGTTCATCAATTAAAAAATTCATCAATGTTAATCAATGCCTATCACTACAACAAAAATTTCATTCTACAATTAAAAAATTCACCATTTATCAATTTTCTACTCCAATTGACCATTTATCAATGTTCCAAAATAGGAACTATATCCATTTGTCAAGAAAATCATCAATTTCCTAACATTGCTGTTGAAAAATTTATAAACATTCTTATTAAATAAAAGAGCCTAATATGTATTTATTAAATAGAACAACCAAAATCCATTACTTTTCATTAAATCAAAATCATCAAGTGAAGTACCATGTCTACAAAATAATTTGAGTCACCACGAATGTCAAAAAAGTTATCATCTATCTAATCTAATAAAGTCAACAAGAAATAAAAAACTAAATCACTAAATTTAAAGGAAGCAATCATCTTTTGCAAAATAAGAATACAATTATTAAGTTTGAACATTTATTAACCCCCACTCGTCCATACAAAGTCTTGATTGCAATATTAGCCCTCACTCATCCATACAAAGTCTTAATGGCAAGAATCGATCCTCCAATCACGCTGTAAAAAAAAAAAAAAAAAAGGTCACTACATTTAATTGTATCACATTAACGAAAAAATTAACCAACCTTAAAGAAGTAGGCGAAACGGAAAAGGTGAAGGAGAGGAACTGAAAACGTGGACAAATTTTCAAACTCTTAAACAAAATGAAAAAATATAATTAAATGCATAAGATGAGGCATTCCAGAATTTCTAAACTGGGGCATTCCAAAATTTTAATAACACATCAGTATAATTATAATTTTATGTAAAGAAAAATATAATTCTAGACTAGGGCATTCCAGAATCTCAATAACACATTAATCTCTTTAAGTTATAATGTATAAGATGTATGTTTGAATTCATGATAATCATTCTATTCTCATCATACAATTAATATATATATATATATATATATATATATATATATATAAGTAGCATCCTACAATTAATTAGGACCCAGATCTATATCAAAATTCTAAATGGTATTCATGTATAAGAGGTCTAGATACCAAATTGTTTCCCTATTATCATTAAGAAATTCTAAAGATTTAATTATGACACAGATCCATATCAAACATGATCTTTGGATACCATATTTTTTTTAACAATTGCATTATTGAAATAGTTATTCAAAAGTCCCAAACAGCTTTGCCGATTAAAAATGGTGCGGAAAAAAAAATCTACCGGCCATACCAACTATTTAGATGTAGTATATGATAATTAAGAAATATTTGTGTTATTTATGGCGCTAATTGAGCTGTTTATGGATCTAATGTGCAACTTAATTAGCATTGTAGGGTTTAATACCATTTTCAATTGCAAAAATAAGTTCTTTTTACGAAGGTATCACTTTTATTCTAAAGGTACCACGTTTTTGAATTGAAGGTATCACTTTTTGGCCTCCAGATACCATGTTTTCTAAATACTCGCTTAGCTAGTTTAGAGAATATTTTGTATTATTCATGGTGCTAATGGAGCTGTTTATGAATGTAATGTGCAACTTAATTAGCGGTGTGGGGTTTAATGCCATTTTCAATTGCAAAAATAAGTCCCTTTTACGAAGGTACCACTTTTGTTCTAAAGGTACAACGTTTTTGAATTGAAGGTACCACTTTTTGGCCTCCAGATATCATGTTTTCTAAACAAGGGTAATAAGGTAAATGCATTGGAATAGGGAGAAGGACATTTTAGGCAACAAAAATTTTAAACAGTAAAACTTCATGTGCCATGTCATCATTGAGGTCAAACTCATTTTTGTGAAAATATAAGACTTTGACTTCATCCACGAATAAATATGGCTCCCTAACTCCATTTATATTTAAAAATCCTTATAATTATCAATCTACGAAGCATAACTACTTATTAGTACGGTATGTTGGACTTTTTACATTATTCTTTTGAATGGAAGACGTACAAGTGCATGCTGGATTGAAGATGCCATTCACCATTAATCAACTTTTGAGCTTTGTTTCAACGCAATAATTCTCTCATCACTCATCCATCCGTGGACTGTAGTGCCTCCGTCAAAAAAAGAAGGGTCCCTGTTTTCTCTCTATTTGATGCACCCTGTTTGCACATACAAAACCCCATCTGTATCTATCCATACAGATACAGAGAGAGTCGATGAGACATGGTTAGTGTATACTGTATACCACACAAGGAAGGAACAGTCTTCCCTTCAAATTCCGTACCGATTGGTTAGATTTCTTAATCCACTATGTACTTGTAAATTTGGGTTAACTTACAGGGAAATTAATCACGCTTTGCGTGGTCATTTATGGGTTTATTTTCATCTTGGTTTGTGGGTTTTCTTGTACCCTTTTGGTGATTGAATTTAGGTTTCCAATTTTAGGGTTTTATGGGCTTTCTTGAGTTGTTATGGAGGTTTTTTGCAAGTGAATACAGACAGAGTCAAAGACCCATTTGGCAATTTGGAGGTGATTTGAGGTTTTCATGGATGAATTAAAAAGGTGATTATCATCTTGGCGCACTTTTGGGGGTTTAACATATATTGAAGAATACAAAGATTAATCAATTTGTGGCATTGTTAGCTCTTCCAAGGTTCAATCATATTAAATTTGTGAGTTCCCAATTTTTACTTTTTCTTTCTAAATTAGAAATGTTATATGAGTATAGACGATTCTGGCTAGAATTTCTATTATTTGAATTGCTTTTAACGTGTTAGCTTGTGAATATATTGAAGAATACAAAGATCAATTTATGGCATTGAACCCAATTTTTACTTTTTTTCTAAATTAGAAATGTTATAAGTAAAGATGATTCTTTCTAGGATTTCTTTAATTTGAATTGCTTTTAATGTGTTAACTTGTGAATATATTGAAGAATACAATAAATAATCAATTTGTGGTAGTGTAACTGTGTAAGCTCTTTCAAGGTTTAGTCGTATTAAATTTGTTACTTACCAATATCTACTTTTCTTTCTAAATTAGAAATGTTGTGAATGTAGATGATTCTTGCTAGAGTGTTTACCGAAACAAATAATTTAAATACAAGTATGAGCAATTGTAAATGAAAATATCTATTAAGTTAAAGTTCTTTTGTTTATGAAAGTAGCTTGAATTTTTTTTCATTTTATTATTGTTCAAGGCCGCTCCTCCTCAAATCATTTTCTGGTTCTGTCAGTGTACATAATTCAAATGGGTAACACGGACATGGAAGAATCAAATGAGATTAAGAGAGAGGACTTGGAAGAAGTTGATCATGAGGTGGAGGAAGTAAAAAGAATTATTCCATGGACAAGACAGATCACTGTTCGAGGAATTATCGCCAGCTTAGTAATTGGAGTCATTTATACTGTGATAGTGATGAAGCTCATTCTCACCACTGGCCTCGTCCCTAACCTCAATGTCTCGGCTGCTCTCCTTGCCTTTATTTTCATCCAGACATGGTCAAAGCTGCTTCAGAAGGCAGGCCTTGGCTCAACTCCATTCACACAACAGGAGAATACACTAATTCAGACTTGTGCAGTTGCGTGTTATAGCATTGCTGTTGCAGGTTGGAGACATTTATCTCGTTAAATATGCAGTAAACTAACCTTCATTGGTTCAATTCAATCTGTTCATTATGGTATTGTAGGTGGTTTTGGATCTTGTTTATTGGGATTGAACAAGAAGACATATGAGCTGGCAGGGGTTGATACAGAGGGCAATCCACCAGGGAGCTACAAGGAACCAGGGATCGGTTGGATGACTGGCTTCTTATTTGTAGTTTGCTTTGTTGGGTTGTTGGCTTTAGTGCCCCTCAGAAAGGTATGTCCATTTCCTTCTCTCTCTCTCTCTCTCTCTCTCTCTCTCTCTATATATATATATATATATATATATATATATATATATTCTTAGTGATGTTACACCAATTTGGAGGCAGTTTATTCATAGGATTGATGTTCCGCATATTCATTGTTCTATAGTTGGTCATTGGGCAAATTATGTGTTATCACAGTAATTTTGTATTCTTTACCGGAATAATAAAACTTGTAATGCTTTATTTGTTCATGTTTTGTTTTATTTTTGTGCAGCTTTTGATAATAGACTATAAATTAACATTTCCCACTGGAACTGCTACCGCTGTTCTCATTAACGGTATCCATACTCCTAAAGGAGATGAGATGGCCAAGTACGCTTCTAATTTAATGAATCCTTGTGTCATCATGTTTAAATCCAGATAGAATCTGAGTGAGAAAGAACTCAAACAAGTAATGGTCATATTTTGCAGGAAGCAGGTTGACGGGTTCCTGAAATTCTTCTCAATTAGTTTCCTGTGGGGTCTCTTTCAGTGGTTCTTTTCTGGCGGAGAGCAATGTGGATTCTCTCAATTTCCTACATTTGGGTTGAAAGCTTGGACACAAACGTAGGTACTTGATATCTGTTCTTTGTTCGATTCTGCTTTGCTCGTGATTGAACCTTCAAAAATCATTGATATTAGTACAACTTTTGCAGATTTTACTTTGATTTCAGTGCGACTTATATTGGAGCAGGAATGATCTGTTCTCATCTTGTGAACTTGTCTTTGCTTTTTGGGGCTGTGCTCTCTTGGGGAATAATTTGGCCGCTGATAAGCGAGCAGAAAGGAGATTGGTTCCCTAAAACTTTACCAGAAAGCAGCATGAAGAGTCTAAATGGTTACAAGGTCCTTGAAAAGAGATCCGATTTTTATTTCCTTGAAACGAAGTGTCATGTTAATGCTTTAGCATTTGTTGCCATTTGGATTGTGAAGCTGAGAGAATACACTCTTATCATTTGCTTGTGAATGTTGCAGGTTTTTATAGCTATTGCTCTCCTCCTAGGAGATGGGCTCTACAATTTTCTGAAGATACTTTATTTCACCGGTAGAAGCATGTATATCAAGACGAAAAAAAGCCCTAAAACACGTAAATTTGGCAACTTTGAACTATGTCTTCTTGGTGTGCCTCCTCTCCAGTAAGCGCATCGCGAGTTCTCAACTCACCATTCATAGATTCCTACTGCCGATCTACAGTAGCTATCAGATCACCAGAAGATCGAAATAAGAGGCACACTTTAACATTTCTTATTCAGTTTTAGATGAATTTTTGGGCCTGCCTCGTCATAATTTTGTATGCTGCTAATCTGCTAATGGTGTGTAGTGAACTAGTGAGGCGCTAAACTAGAGAGGAGCAATTCTTGCTTTTTTGTACCACAATATGTAAACCTCTACTAACACACTTCTCTCTGTATTAAGCAGTTTCAGATGACAAGAATCAGCCCCTTGATGATCTTCAACAAAATGAAGTGTTCATTAGAGAGAGCGTTCCCTTATGGGTAGCATGTGCAGGGTATACGCTTTTTTCCATCATCTCTGTCACTGTGATCCCGCTCATGTTTCCCGAGGTGAAGTGGTATTATGTTGTTGTCGCCTACATTTTCGCACCCTTACTTAGCTTCTGCAATGCATATGGTGCTGGTTTAACTGACATGAATATGGCTTATAATTATGGAAAAGTGGCCCTCTTTATGCTTGCTGCATTGGTTGGGAAAGATTCTGGTGTAGTTGCGGGACTTGTAGGATGTGGCTTGATCAAATCTATTGTTTCCATATCCTCCGACTTGATGCATGATTTCAAGACTGGCCATCTCACCCTCACTTCCCCTCGATCAATGCTTCTGAGTCAGGCCATTGGGATAGCCATAGGCTGTGTGGTATCCCCTCTCACATTCTCTCTCTTTTACAAGGCATTCGATGTTGGGAACCCGAATGGGGAATACAAAGCACCTTATGCCCTCATATACCGGAACATGGCAATTCTAGGTGTCCAAGGCTTCTCGGCCCTGCCCCAGCATTGCTTGCAGCTTTGCTATGGGTTTTTCGTTTTTGCCATAGCAGCCAACTTGGTGAGGGACCTTTCCCCGGAAAGCGTTGGAAAATGGATTCCTCTTCCAATGGCTATGGCTGTGCCTTTCCTGGTTGGGGCTTACTTCGCAATTGATATGTGTGTGGGGAGTTTGGTTGTATTTGTGTGGCACAAGCTTGACAGCGGGAAGGCGAGTTTGATGGTTCCTGCAGTTGCATCAGGTTTGATTTGCGGAGATGGGTTATGGATTCTTCTGTCGTCGATCCTTGCTTTGGCCAAGATCAATCCTCCGATCTGCATGGGCTTTTTGCCTAGTAAGAACTAAGAGGAAGGAGGGTTCGAAGAACAAAACCGAAGAATTGTATTCAGGTGCAAGAATAACTAAATTTACATGCTTTATCAAAGTATGAGAATGGTTGACAGAGAGGTGCCTGATTTCACATAAAAGATAATAATGCAGCTCTATTGAAAAAATGTACTGAAACTAATGTAGGGTTGATTTATATGAGATTTATTGGTAGGAGTTAGGAAATGTTCCACAAAAAATGTGTATAAAACATGTGAGAAAACTTTGGATAGTTTATATAATTGAAAGTCTTCTTATTAAACTTGTGTCCAGATGATTTTATTGAAATTGATTTTGTTTTTATTTTTTAAATATTTAGCAGATATCTTTCAAAATTTGAATGAAAAAAGAAACTATGGATGTAGTGGAATTGGCACTGAATGGAATCTACAAGAAGTGATCTTAATGAACCACTCAGCTCCATTTCTTTCAAATAAATTATAATCTAGTACCCTAGTTGATAGAGTATCCATCCCTCCGAACTATGTGTCCGTGTTGAAATCTCTTCTCTCGCAAAAAAAAAAATATAGAAAATATATTCTTTTCACAACATTTGTTGATAGGAATTTGCCACAACACCCCTTACTAGTGGTTGACTCAATTATAAAGTTCTCATTGTTACTTAATAGTAGTAATACTTTAAGCAGCAAATATCACAATTCTACATTCCACTAACAAAATTATTTGGAACAAAAAAGAGGAAAGTATATATAACGATGTATGTTATATTTAAGTATCACATCTAAAAGGAAATTATATTCTAAAGGGATCATCCGGCAAAAGTAATTCACATTTTATTATTTTTAAATAAAAAATTCAATCTAATGTAAAATCAGATGTTGGAGATACCATACAACACTTCTCAATTTATTCTTATGGGAAAATTAGAATTTAGTACCAAACTCAAACAAAATTGTTCTGAAGCGAACCCGATGAATAGTAACCAAATTCTTATTCCCCTAAGGTAATTTTACATATAATTCACATTCACATCATTTAATAATAAGAATATACATTCATCTCCGTTGAAACATGGTTCAATTATACAGACCTCTCCCGGACAAATAATGCTTAAATAAAAAAGATTATATTGCAGAAAACTATATTTGTCTTTGTCTCTTCATTTTATCTCAATTTTCAGCGAAAATAAAATATGAGCACAAAAAAAAAAAAAAAAAAAAAAAAAAAAAAAATTCACACTTCCTTTTAAAGCCATCAAAGGAAATATTTAAAGAGGGAAGGCCCGTGTAATTTTTTCCATACCTCATACATACATACATACATACATACATATATATATATATATATATATGGATTCGAACAAGGCACACCCCTTGAAGGAGTTGGGTGCTCTACCAATTAAACCACCAAATAGCCACTGAGTAATGCCCCTGTAAAAATGACTGTACTTTATCCTATAATTTAAGTTAGAGGTTAAGAGGGTCAGGCAAAACATTGTTGGATTGATATGTTTCCTAATTAAAAGCTATGACAACATTTAAAAGAAAACTACAAGCTCTTGCTAAAGAGGAATTAAATTTTTTGATCGAGGTTTTAATTGGATGAATAAAACTATTTCCTAATCACAAAACCCATTCTTGACTTAATCCCAGTCTAACTTTCTACCAAATGTTCATTATCAACTCATGAACCCATCATCTGTGTGTGTTACATTCTGTTAGAATAAACACCTTCTTCCAGCACTCTGGATACTTATATTAGGTCCCTTTACATCCTTTCCGTCTGACTCTGAATGTTTTTATTTTCAAACTTTTAAGGACATTCACACGAGTTTTAAGTAAATTTTGAACATGACAAAAGTGATTTTATGACAAAGGAGGTCTGCCTCATCTATACCTAACCAAAGGGAGGTCAATATTATATTTAAAATTAGAAGAGAGTTCTCTCTTATTTAGATAATTTACGGAAGAACTAAGTGTAATTATCCCATCGTAAAACAGTAATGGCTCGACGGCTCGGAACAATTGAGATAGTATGCATGGATAGACACAAATCCAAGCCATTTTGAGGTATAATACAAATCTGAAACGCAATGTTAACAAAAATTAGAGCAATTAATACAATATAACTTGCAAAAAAAAAAAAAACAGTATAATATATAATAAAGGCCTAGTGATATTTCTATTTCTTTTATCTCTCAGAATGAATGACGAAAATTAATATAACACATATCATTAAGCAATAATAATTAACACAAGAAAATCCTACTGAAGTCGAAAGAACAAGCTCATTAAACAACGTGACAAGAAAGTGACTACTAGGTATATTGTTGTGGGAGTGTGTGTGTGATGTCATCTTATTATTACATTGGTCCAAAGGACGATTCAGTGCACATGAATCACATGGGATAATCTTCATCCTCATTGGCTGATCTTAATTTGTATAATACATATCATTAGGCAGAGTAATTAATATAAGAACAATAATTCTCAAATTTAATATTCTAACGGAACTATGTCAAAATCTTAATACCGTATAAATTTTCGATCAAAATAGCACTACTGTCATTTTAACATAATTATACCCAATGACAGTAGCTAAAATATTCATAATTTCATATCGAAATATAATAATAATTAATGTCAGAGAATTAGACGGATTACAAAATCAAATTAGGTTTTAATTTTAATCAATAAAACCTGTCTGCCGAAACACCGCATTTCGAACACGACGCAAGTCCCTCCCTTTCAGCGTCCGGCCGACGCCTTCCAACACCGAGAACGTCATCACGTGCGACCTCGCCACGATCACGTGCGGCGGAACCATCTCCTCCTCCTCCTTCACGTCGTCGTCGTCCACTTCATCCACATGCCTCAATTCACCTCCTCCGAAATTCCCGATCTTCTTCGGCCAAATCGGCACGTTCACCGGAGCCGATTGGTGGTGGTTGTAGTGGTGGTGTCCGGCGAAAACCTCCGACCGTGGCACCGGCGGAATCGCCTTTGCGGCGGCCGACAGGAACGGGTCCAGAGTCGGCTTGCGACGGACCAGAGGGTGCTGGTCGTCGGATAACGCTGCGGAGAGGCCGGACTTCTGCGGATGGAATTGGTGGTGGTGGTTGCTGTTGTGGTTGTAGAGGCGGCGGAGGTTCGTCGGAGAATTGGACACAGTCGGCGGAGAATGCGTGTGTACGCTGCCGGAATCCGAGAGATCGGAGGAGGACCAAATGACGTCGCTCTCGTCGAGCTCGAACGGGTCGGGATCGGAATCCGGTTGTTTGAGAAGGCCGAGGAATCGGATGGTTGAAGAAGAGGAGGTGTTGTTGTGGAGAGAGGAAATGGTTGACTGTGAATCTCGTTCCATGGTGATGAGATTATTAGCGTTGGGGTTGGTTTGAATCTTCTGTCTCATTTTCTTTTCTATTTTCTCGAGGGAAAGAGAAGGAAAATGATTTACTGGAGAATGGGAGAGAGGGGATGGCATTGTTTGGTTGTTGAGAAAAATGAGGACCGACACATTAAGGTGGCTTGTTTGCAACCTGAAGATTCCACTTATTATATGCCACACATTTTCCATTTACCTACTGACCGACCACCAAATTGGTGCTTTGCTGATTCAGAGATATGTGAGTATCTCATGGACCCCAGGGGTCCATAAGTTGATGATAAGTCATAAAGATTATAAATAGCATATTTTTCGGGTTTTATCACAAAATTTGTTATTAAACTCAAATATTCTATTCAAGTGGTCAAATGGTTTAAGTTTTGAAAGTTGCTGTTTTTTTGTTTGTGATGTATGGTATTTCTCTAGGGAAAGGACTCTTGCCTCAGGTCGTGAAGATAGGGAGTTTAAATCTTTTTAAAGTCGGTTTAGACAATTTTTTTCAGTGTCCAAAGAAGCCAACACCACCATCATTGATGAGAATTTTCAAAATTTTCAAATTTTTTATTTTTATTTTTATTTTTTATTGCATTAACTGAGATATCACTCGAAGTGTGGAATGTTTGGCAACCGACAAATTTGCAACCACTTGGAACTTGTGTTTTTCACTTTGTTTTATTCATGAAAACTATTTAAAAAAATAATTAGATAGAATAAGTGTTTCTCACACTTGACTTGGAACTAAGTGCAGACATAACACACTTTTATGTTGTACGCCAATGCTAAGAGCTAACCCACGTGGGAGCCGGGGAGAGAGAAGAATTGGAGATAAAAGGTTGAATCTTAGTGGATCGGACAAGTGGAAGGCCGTTCTGGCATTTACAATAAATTTGATCACTCCAAAATTTTAGTTATGGAGATAGGAATCGATTGTTGACCGGTCAAGACTATCACCTCCTGGCTTTTAGTTATGGAAATAGGGACCGATTGTTAACGGGTCAAAACGATCGGTTCTAAAAAGTTGCAAGTTGTTAGAGGAGATAAGGTTTATTTAATCTACCCTCACCTTGGCAACCGACACATATCACAAGACGTCAAGGTCGGCCAGAAATGAGGTGTAATGAGTTATTCAATTCAAAAAAAAAAAAAAGAGTTATTCAATTTGTACTCCATTTTTGTACACATGCCACTGGAACTAAAGAACAGTGGTAGGTAAAGTTTTCATATTCTAGCATTTTAGGATAAGAACCAAACCCATATCTCATTAACATTTTAGGACAGAAAGATAAGGGTTTGATTCTTATCCAAATGACTATAATGAGATATACACACTTTTCAAAGATAAGAACCAAACCTTGTCTCATTTCTTCGCTTGTCACTTCTTCATGTGTCATACTAGCATTGAGTGCTTTAGATTTTAACACAACGAACACTGTTACAAAATAACTCGGGCACCATGTGATTTACATATTTTAAACATGTGATATATTTTATTAATTGGTTAACTAAATATATATCAAATTAATATTATATTATTTGATCAATTTTATAATAATTAATTATTAAAGAATTATTTTTTTATTTATTCCTTATTCTGATGAAAAGTGAAATTTAGGTTACTAAAAGGAAAACTGGTCCTCTCTCTGTCTTTAATATAAAGTGCACATCTCCCATCAATTATGTACGTAAATGAAAACAATACGTATAATGTTTATGCGTGCAAAAAGTAAAAAGAGAGAAATTGGTTTCCACGCTTTGGCTGTTACAGTTTATCACGTTGTTCGTTCCACAGAAAGAATCTCGATGTTAGACTTGATTTCTACGATATTTGCAGTCACAGATTGAGGTATTGATTTATATCTAATGATGGATGTATAATTTAAATATCCATAATTAAGGGAAGATTGCTAAATTAACGCACTATTGAGATAGGCTCTGCAGATTACGATAAGGATTACAGATTGAGATAGGCTTTACAGATTACGATAAGGATTAAAGATTGTGATAAGGATTAAAGATTACGATGATGATTAAGTCTACAGATTACAATAAGGTAATTCTATGTGACATCTTAACCTAAGTCCTATAAAAAAAGCGAGGGAATCAACGTTTTGAGGTACGCAATAAACCCTAACTCAATTTCTCGATTTCTCCAGGGAGATTATCATTCACACTGACTTGTTCGTCGGAGCCTACTCCACCGGTAACACACCGGTGTTCGTAGGATCACTTTTTCTTCTCTTTATTCAGGAAGTCAGATCAGATCCAGGTTGCGCAGAATCCATCATCAACAGTTGGCGCCGTCTGCGGGAACGATTTCAGTTCTCTAAATAAAGTATGGTTCGATTGCGATCTGGTCTGGTTGCTGGCGAATACGAAGCGTTGCAAACTTCTGATCAAAGGGACTCGACGAGGCAACCCCCCGCCGTCCCAAACGATCAGGAACGCGTCACAACGTTGGAACAATATGTTTAAACCTTAAATAAGGGAATGAACCAATTAGTCCAGAAAAATTCAATGATTCTACAACGCTTAGCCGACCTTAATGAGGTGGAGAATAATGAAGTACCCAATAATGACTCCCGTAGGATTGACAACGACACTGAGCTTAGTCAAATAGGGGGTCAACAGAGAAGCCATCACCATCGGTCTCTTGAACGGAATAATACCAGGCTCCGTACAGGTACCTCTGGTTGTGTTGGTGACAAGACTGAAGACGTCACTTATTTCAATCTGTAGATGCAAGATCTGAGAACTAGGGTCAAAGACGTCATGCAAGCAATGAAAGGGAAGGGCCAGGCCACAGTGAACGATCTGGTACAGAAGACCAAACTAGTATTTAGCCTCGCTGTTATGTTATGAGTTGTCCTCTACCTAGAAAATTTAAGATGCCAACTCTTGAGAGCTTCGATGGGACGCGGGACCCTCTCGATCATTTAGAGACCTACAAAGCTCTTATGTATTTGCAAGTCGTACCGGATGAGATTATGTGCAGGGCTTTCCCTACCACACTAAAGGGTTGGGCTCGTCTTTGGTTCAATAAATTAAAGCCAGGCTCCATTGAAATCTTTAATGAGTTGAGCAAACAATTCATTGGACACTTCATCGCTGGGCAGAGGCATAGGAGACAGCAACACACTTATTGAATGTGAAACAGCAGAAGGGAAAGCCTCTCCGTGGTTACATAAGTCGTTTTAACGCTGATATGCTGCAGGTAGAAGAGGTGGACGACAAGGTTGCCCTCACAGCCTTTAGGGGAGGACTACAGACTTCTAAGTTCCTATTTTCCTTATCAAAAGAAGCCCCTACAAACATAACAGAGTTGATGGTTAGAGCGTGGAAGCACATGAACGCTGAGGATGCTATGAATGCACGAAAAAACAAAGATGGTGAAGATAAGAGGTCGGAGAAGAAGAGGCCAGCACCTAACACTAGGGAGGAAAAGGAATCGAAGTACAAGAAATTCTCAAACAACCAGGCTGACAGATCGTCTCGCCGCCCAGTAAGCCCAGGCAGGTATAATAACTATACCCCCTAAATACATCTGTAGAGCCAGTCTTTCTGCAGATTCAAGATGACGCATCATTGAAATGGCCGCCAAAGCTAAAAGCTGATCCAACAAAGAGGTCTCTAGGTAAATACTGTAGGTTTCACCGTGACCGTGGACATAACACAGAAGATTGTTTCAACCTCAAAAACCAGATCGAGAACATTGTTCGTAAAGGTCATTTACGCAAATTCACAACTAGAAATGGAAAAGGAGGCTCCAACCCAGCCCGGGAGGGCCGAGATGATCGCCCTCCTCAACACCAACCAATGGGTGAGATCAAAGTTATATCGGGTGGCTTCGCTGGTGGTGGTGAGACAAGTTCGGCTCGGAAGGCTCATGCTAGGAGAATTCGGAGTTTTTCAGAGGTGAATTAAGTTGGAATGACAAGTCCTCCAACCAAATTACCTCGAGTTGAGGAGCCAGTCATAACCTTTTCTGAAGAAGATGACAAGGGAATTCACCAACCCCATGATGACCCTCTGGTAGTTTCCATGGTCGTTGCTAATTTCACTGTTCGACGAATACTAATAGACAATGGTAGCTCGGCTGACGTATTATTTCTTAGGGCGTATGAGAAATTAAAAATTGGCCGAGAGAAGCTCCGACCCATGAAGTCACCACTGGTGGGATTTTCAGGCGACAAAGTATATCCACTAGGGGCAGTTACCCTTCCAGTTACTGCAGGAGCCAATCCAAAACAGGTCACTGTAATGGTGGACTTTGTAGTGGTGGACTGCCCATCATCATATAATATTATCTTGGGGAGAACGACATTGAATGCTATGAAAGCAATCACGTCCACTTACCATCTCCTGATGCGTTTCCCAACTGAATATGGTATGGGAGAGATAAGAGGGGACCAAACAATGGCTCGCGAATGTTATGTCGCCTTTCTCAAAAAAATAAAATCACAAGAGGCATTTACGATTGAAGGTCTGGAAGGGAAAGATAGACCAGACTTTCATAGAGCGGAACCTACAGAGGAGCTAGAAGAGGTCATCCTTGGTGAGCCCAAGAAAAAAGTGAGTATAGGGTCTTTACTCCCCCCAGGTATCAAAGATGAACTTACTCAATTCCTTAGGAAGAATCAAGACGTATTTGCATGGGTACATAAAGACATGCCGGGTATAGACCCCACTATCATGGAGCACCGCCTAAATGTAAATCCTGACTTCAAACCTGTCAGACAAAAGAAGAGGACTTTTGCTCCAGAAAGGAATCAGGCTATATCAGAAGAGGTGGAAAAGCTCTTAAAAGCCGACTTTATTCAAGAGGTGTACTACCCCGACTGGCTGGAAAATGTGGTCCTAGTGAAGAAGGCAAATGGAAAATGGAGGCTATGTGTGGATTTCACCGACCTTAACAAAGCTTGCCCGAAGGACAGCTTTCCTCTCCCAAGAATCGATATGCTCATTGAGGGAACGACTGGACACGAACTATTAAGTTTCATGGATGCATATTCTGGATACAACCAGATATCTATTTACACCTCAGATAGAGAAAAAACGGCCTTCATCACTGATAGAGGTTTGTACTGTTACAAAGTAATGCCGTTTGGACTCAAGAACGCTGGTGCAACATACCAAAGGCTAGTGAATGCAATGTTTAAGTATCAAATTGGTAGAAACATGGAGGTATATGTTGATGACATGTTGGTGAAAAGCTTAAAAGCTAAAGACCATTTGACTGACCTGCAGGAGACCTTCGAGGTACTTAGGAGTCATAAGATGAAACTCAACCCCAGCAAGTGTGCCTTTGGGGTTTCCTCAGGAAAGTTCTTGGGATATATGATAAGCAGAAGAGGAATTGAGGCCAATCCAGAGAAGATCCGAGCAGTCATTGACATGAGATCGCCAAGATCAACCAAGGATCTACAACGACTAACAGGGAAGATTGCTGCCTTGAGTAGGCTAATCTCTCGGTCAACTGATAGGTGTCTACCTTTCTTTCGTGTGCTAATGAAGGCTTTTGAATGGACCCCAGAATGTGAGCAGGCATTCAAAGAACTAAAGTAATACCTTAGTTCTCCCCCACTACTGTCTCGAACCATACCGGGAGAGGAACTATACATATACCTTGCAGTCTCCACGACAGCTGTCAGTTCAGCTCTGATACGAGAAGAAGAAGGGGTCCAAAGGCCAGTATACTTCGTGAGCAAAGCACTTAGAGGTGCGGAGGAAAGATATCCAAGGATGGAACAGTTGGCCTTTGCTTTAATTGTGTCCGCCAGGAAACTGAGACCATACTTTCAAGCGCATACGATAGTGGTCCTAACAGATCAACCCCTTCGACAGATCCTACATAAGCCAGAAAGCTCTGGTCGACTGATGAAGTGGTCAGTAGAGTTAGGGGAGTTCGACATTCAGTATAAGCCAAGAACAGCAGTAAAGGCTCAGGTGTTGGCTGATTTCTTAGCTGAGTTTACCCCTCCAGAAGAGGAGAAACAACCCCAATTTTTGACAAAACCAAGTTTAAGTGAGCAGATGGGCCCAGAAGTAGTCTGGGACTTGTTCGTGGATGGGTCATCTACTGCTCAGGCTAGCGGAGCTGGGCTTGTTCTTGTCTCCCCAGAGGAAGAAAATATACAGTACGCACTTCGGTTTGGTTTCAAAGCAACCAACAACGAAGCAGAGTACGAAGCCTTGATAGCAGGATTAAAAGTGGCAAATGCCCTAGGGGTTGAGCAATTAAAGGTGTACACCGACTCCCAGCTGGTCGCTGGACAAGTTCAAGCGGAATATGAGGCACGAGACGAGAAGATGAAGAGTTATCTACAAAAGGTAAAGGAATTAAAGAATCACTTCCAAAGATTCTCAATTCATCAAATACCACGAGAAGAGAATGGGAAAGCAGACGCTTTAGCCCGGCTAGTTACTGCATTAAACCTGAGATCAATAAGAATATACCACTGGAATATTTAGAAGAACCATCTATATCTCAGGAGAGATAAATTGAAGTGCAACAAGCGATATTGAGTGTGGAATGGGCAGATCCTATCATCAGATATATCAAGGATGGGGTGCTACCAACAGACCGAGTAGAAGCTCGAAAGGTCAAGATGCGGGCAGCTAGGTATATGCTTATCAAAGGGGTGCTCTACAAGAGAAGCTTCTCCATGCCGTATTTACGATACGTTTCTAGCGAGGAAGCTGACTATATTTTAAGGGAGATCCACCTAGGAGTTTGTGGAAACCATGCTGGGGGTAGGTCACTTGCTAATAAGGCCATCCGACTAGGATACTATTGGCCCACCATGCAGAAAGATACACTTGACTTCGTTAAAAAGTGCGACAAGTGTCAACGATTTGCCAACATCCCGAGACAACCATCAGAGGAGATGACTCCTATGTCAAGACCACACCTCTTTCCCCCTTAAAAGAATGAAGGGTCAGCTTCATCTTCTTCCCTCGTAAAAAGATGAGGGGTTAACTACTTCCCTTGTTAAAGGGTGAGCTGAGTGAAGCTCATATTAATCTACTTCCCTTGTTAAAGGGTAACCTGGGTGAAACTCGTATTAATCTACTTCCCTTGTTAAATGGTGAGATGAGTGAAGCTCGTAGTAATCTACTTCCCTCGTAAAAAGATGAGGGGTTAACTACTTCCCTTGTTAAAGGGTGAGCTGAGTGAAGCTCATAGTAATCTACTTCCCCTGTTAAAGGGTGAGCTGGGTGAAGCTCGTATTAATCTACTTCCCCTGTTAAAGGGTGACCTGGGTGAAGCTCGTATTAATCTACTTCCCTTGTTAAAGGGTGAGATGAGTGAAGCTCATAGTAATCTACTTCCCTCGTTAAAAGGTGAGCTGGGTGAAACTCATAGTAATCTACTTCCCCGATGAGTGAAGCTCATATTAATCTACTTCCCTTGTTAAAAGGTGAGCTGGGTGAAGCTCATAATAATCTATTTCCCCTGTTAAAGGGTGAGCTGAGTGAAACTCGTATTCATCTACTTACCTTATTACGAGCTACGTGAAACTCGTCTTAATCTACTTTCCTTATTAAAGGGACGAACCGACTAAAGATGTCAATAAAATCAAGTATAAAATAACGGTAGCATGCCAGCAGGGCAGCTTGCTAAATAATGGGAGCATGCCAGCAGGGCAGCTTGCCAAATAAAGGCAGCATGCCAACAGGGCAGCTTACCAAATAATGGGAGCATGCCAGCAGGGCAGCTTGCCAAATAAAGGCAGCATGCCAGCAAGGCAGCTTGCCAAATAAAGGCAGTATGCCAGCAAGGCAGCTTACCAAATAAAGGCAGCATGCCAGCTTGCCAAATAAAGACAGCATGTCAGCAGGGCAGCTTGCCAAATAACGGCAGCATGTTGGCAGGGCAGCTTGCCAAATAACGGCAGCATGCTAGCATAACAGCTTGCCAAATAAAGGCAGCATGCCAGTAGGGCAGCTTGCCAAATAAAGGCAGTATCCAGCAAGGCAACTTACCAAATAAAGGCAGCATGTCAGCAGGGCAGCTTGCCAAATAACGGCAGCATGCCAGCATAACAGCTTGCCAAATAAAGGCAGCATGCCAGCAGGGCAGCTTGTCAAATAAAAGCAGCATGCCTGCCAAATAAAGGCAGCATGCCAGCAGGGCAGCTTGCCAAATAACGACAGCATGCCAGCATGACAGCTTGCCAAATAAAGGCAGCATGTCAGCAGGGCAGCTTGCCAAATAACGGCAGCATGCTGGCAGGGCAGCTTGCCAAATAACGGCAGCATGCTAGCATAACAGCTTGCCAAATAAAGGCAGCATGCCAGCAGGGCAACCTGCCAAATAACGGCAGCATGCCAGCAGGACAGCTTGCCACGGCAGCATGGCATGGCAGCTTGCCACATAACGGTAGACTACCAGTATGGCAGCTTGCCACATATACGAGCTGCCAATGTGGCACTACGACAAATATACAAGCTTGCCAATATACGACAAATATACGAGCTTGCCACATATACGAGCTGCCAATGTGATACTATGACCCCCGACTGTATTCGCGAAATGACAATATAAGTCAGGCTATTGGACAAGGCTCTGCAATTCTAACTATATATTATTGTGTGATATTTTGGAATTAACGTTCCGGTGGTTTGACAAGCAATCCTCCGAAACGGGGGGCAACTGATGGATGTATAATTTAAATATCTATAATTAAGGGAAGATTGCTAAATTAACGCACTATTGAGATAGGCTCTGCAGATTACGATAAGGATTACAGATTGAGATAGGCTTTACAGATTACGATAATGATTAAAGATTGTGATAAGGATTAAAGATTACGATGAGGATTAAATCTACAGATTACAATAAGGTAATTCTACGTGACATCTTAACCTAAGCCCTATAAAAAAGGCGGGAGAATCAACGTTTTGAGGTACGCAATAAACCC